GTGGCTTTTGGACTGGAGAGGATAGGACAGAGCGTGATAGTAGCTGTAACTTGGGGGCTGAGCTTTACCTGGGGCTGTGCCAGCCCTCGGAGTGTAGGGCTGTAGCCCCAAAGTTGGTGCTTCAGCTTATAGTGTTCCATAGGGGAGTGTTTTTTTTTTTTTTTGTTTTTTTTTTTTTTTTTTTTTTTTTTTTTGACTTGATAGGACAGAGTGCGATAGTAGCTGGGGATAGGGGGCTGAGCTTTCACTCCGGGGCTGTGCCCCAGGCCTCGGAGTGTAGGCCTGCAGCCCCACACTGGGTGCTTTAGGTTTTCTTGCTCCAGCTCTCCAGGACTCTGGTGCTGGAGGTCAGAGTGCCAGCGTTGACGTGTCAACTGAGATAAGGAGGTGGAGAGGGCAGTGGTGCCAGCCGGCCCCAGAAGCCTTCCCTTTCCCAGTGTCCCACTGACTGTGCTCTGCTCTGCTGCTGTCCATCTGTCCAGCTGCAAGGCCCCCATGGTGGGCACAGGGATGGCGGTGCTCGTACTGCCACCGTGGTGTGCCCATGGAGGATTTTTGAGCTGCTGCCAGTTCTAATTATCTTCATGTTCTGTGAATTTAAAGTAGTAGTGCCATGCTCATGGTTCATTTGCCCATGAATAAAATGCTCTATGGAGGTTCTAAATGAAATAAGGATTTTGGTCATTTTCATCATGTTGGCTGTTTGGGGAGAAAATACACAAAATTAATCCACAGTTGAAGTCTATTGCCTATAGAAGTACACATGCAAAATAAGGGAAGGGAGTGATTGTTTTTCCTTGGGTTGCTGGCAAAGTCTTTAGACTGAGCAAATAAGTTTCAGTAGATGAGGTGTGAAAACAGCATACACAGGAGCTCACAGCATAAGTGAGCCAAGGGCCTGATGTGACATGATGCTTACTGTAGACCAGTGGGTCTCAAGGATTGCTGTGGGGTGTGAGATCCAGCACAGGCTCATCAGTGGTGAGACCCATAGAAAAATGTATAGATATTCCTGATAGTATGAGAATCAAATGTCAGGGGAAAAACACAGGAAGGAGAATTGATAGGGATAAGGATAGAGAAGTTGGTCCTAAATGGGGCAAGAAGAAATAAGAGCTAAAATGAGTGTGACTTTCTTGATTAGCTGCAGAGAGGGGTGGGATGTGTGAAGAATCTGGAATAGTCCCAAGTTCCTGGCTCTGTCAGCTAAGTTACTGAGATGTGCCTTATGGGAAGAGAAGCATATTGTAGATGAGAGATGATTTCAGATCACACACATCTCCCTCAGAATCCACAATCAGGGCCTAGGGAGATGACTCAGTGCGGAAAGGAAAGTGCTTGCCATGATCTGGAGTAGGAGCCCTTAAGGCAATGTAAACGCTGGGTGGAGGTATGAATAGAGGAATCCCAGGTTCACTGGTCATCAGTTTATCAGAGAATGTGTGAGCTCTAGATTCAGTGAGAGACTCTGCCTTAGAAAATTGAGGTAGAGAAGGAAGACATTACAACAGCAGCCTCTGGCTTTTCACATAAAATACACAGGCACCTAGCAGTTACCAACACTTATTTCTGATAAGGTTGGGGGTGAGGACCACGGAGGGATTTTGCAGACTTGGCTGGATTTTCTGTGGTTCAGTGGGCTGTGTGGATGTGTGTTGCATTTTGTAAGGGAACAATTCTCTCCCCTTCAGGATGGTGTTAGCTATGAGTCTTCTATTGGTGCTGTTTGTCAGATTGAGAAAAGTAGTCCTAGTTTGCAGTCTCCTGATGATTAGACGGTCGATTTTCTTACATGTTTTATTACTATCTGTTGAGATCTTCTTTTTCTTCAATTCTTTTACTGTGGATTATGACATTGATTTTTTTTAACTGAGCATTACATTCCTTTCTGTGTATATATGGTGTGTGTGTGTGTGTGTGTGTGTGTGTGTGTGTGTGTGTGAAATCCAAAGCCCCAAGAGTTGGTTTTTTCCTTCTACCACATTGGTGATGGGGGTCAAACACAGGTCCTGAAGATTGGTGGCAAAGTTTTTACCTGCTGAGCTATCTTCCTGGCCCAATAATATTTAAAATTTTTATTTAGATTTATTTATTATATATAGTATGTTCTGTCTCCTTATATCCCTGCAGGCCAGAAGAGGGCACCTCATTGCAGATGGTTGTGAGCTACCATGGGATGCTAGGAACTGAACTCAGAACCCCTTGACAACTAGCTAATGTTTTTAATCATTGTGAGATCTCTCCAGCCCCTGCCCCCTCATATTTTTTTACAAGGTCTTTTATGACTATAAATTTTCCTGTTACACACTGAATTAGTTGTTTTGTGTAAGTTTTATGTTGCATTTTATTATTTTTTTTTAAAAACCTTTTATGTTCATGGATGTTTTGCTCTTGCATGTATGTCCATGCGTCACATGTTTGCTGTGCTTAAAGATGCCTTAACGGGTGACATATTTCCCTGGAAATGGAGTCATAGATAGTGGTGAGCCACCAAGTGGATCCTGGGAAACAAACATGGGTCATTTATCTACAAGAATGACAAATGCTCTTAACTGCTGAGCTCTCTCTCCAGCCCGTCCTGTTTTTTGATAACTAATTTTAACCCGTGTAATCAGAGAAGATGCTTCTCGACATGGGAATTTTTTAATTGAATTTTTACTATTTTAAACTATGTGTATGTGTGTGTATGTGCTTGTAGCTTCAGCTGCCCAAGGAAGCAGCAAGAGGGCATCAGATCTCACAGAGGTGGAGTCATGGGCAGGCACTTAGGGACTCTTGACATGGATTCTGGGAACTGAAGTCTGCTCCTCTGCAAGAGCAGCAAATGTTTTCAGCTGCTGAGCCATTTCTCTGGGCTTGGCCATGTGGTTTGATTATTTAAAGAAACAAAACAAAAAACAAAGAAAACATTGAGGTGTGTTTTAGCTTAATGCCTGGATTTTTTCTGAAGAATCTTCCATGTACATTTGAGAGTGAATGTATTTTCTGCTATTATTGCATAGTATTTTGGTAGTATGATAGTCTAACTTATTTGTAGTGTTTTTTACCGTGTTGTCTTTTCATGCTGACTCACTGAAAGTGAGATCTAAAATAACTAACTACTGTTGATGAACGGTTTGTTTTATCCTTACTTCAACAGATTTACTTCATTTTATTGTTCTCTGCATAAAATCCTACATCTTAAAGACTGAGCTAGCCTTTTCCATCACATCTTTGTTTCTAGTAACAGTTTTAGTCTTAGTCTTTTTTATCTGCTATCAGAGGAGTCTACTTGTTTATGATCAGTTAGTATTGGGGTCTGGTAATAAAGACTAGAATAACCCACTGAGGGAAGATGGATTCAGGAAGAGGTAAAATATGCAATTAACTGCAGGCCTTACTCTGTGAGGTGTGGAAGAATATTTTAGAGGGTATGTGGAGGGCTTGGATATACATTCATAGTCTCTGGAGTGAGATAATGGAAATATTTGCCGTGCCTGAATATCTATTCTTGTGATCCTAGAGGCAAATCGTTGGTATCATTGCCTTGCAACATGATATCACACTTTTTTGTATGTGGCTCAGGTGAGAAAGAGAGAGAGGACCAGGATAAAATATTTTCAACCCTTTTCTGAGCCCTTGTAAGGTCAGTCCTGTACCTTAAGGATCCAAAACACAAGGTTAAAGGAACTCTCCATGAAACCCAGAGCAGAGGCTGTGCACCTACACTTTGGATCCTTTCTGGAGTCACAGATGTAAAAAGGAAAATAACGATACAGGGAATAAAAAAAGAGGATACTATTGCATGTATTTTTTTTTTTTTTGGTAGAAGTTAATAAGCTGTAGATAGCAGCTTGTAAAAGGTCCTTGTCATGTACTAGCATAAAACAGGTTTTATAGATAGTAATTATCTAAGGATTTGTTGTTCATTTTGTCAGACCCCAAGGAGAAGACAGCTGTGGAGTTTCTAGATGGTATATGTTGATGCCTGGAAAGAGTCAAGCCCATCATTTCTAGGGTTGTTTTTGAAAGAACCATTTTCTTTTGGGCTCAAACTGCATTAATTTAACTCAAGAGACAGGAAGGAAGGGTTTATATCCCAACTCTGAAGCTCTGTCAGTAGTTTCTTATCACTCTCCCTTCCTCAGAGGACAAGCTGCAGATCAGTGTTTTTCCTCTGCAGGAAATGTTTTTTCAAACCCAGTGCATATGGATAAATCATGAACTTGAACTCAGGGAAAAGAACCCAACCCAGACCATTGATACTTTTTTTTTTTTTTTTTACTGGATTTTAAAATCTTTGGTAGGGACGGTGTCCCTCACCCATCTCCTAAATAAATACATTGAGATTTATTCTTACTTAGGAATGGCTGGCCTTATCTCAGCTGTTTCTAGCCAGCTTTTCTAAATTAAATTATCCCATTTCTCTTTATGTGTTGCCTCTGAGCTCTTTTCCCTTTATTTATTCTATGTGCCTTGCTTTCCTTCTTACTCTGTGACTGGTGCCCTTGGTGTCCTCCTCCTCTTGTCCCTGGATCTTCTAGGTCTCTCCTCCTATTTATTCTCTCTGCATGCCAGCCAGCCCTGCCTATTTTTCCTGCCTAGCTATTGGTCTGTTCAGCTATTCATTAGGCCAATCAGGTGTTTTAGACTGGCAAAGTAATGCAGCTTTACAGAGTTAAACAAATGCAACATAAAAGAATGAAACACATATAAAATATTCCATAATGTTCTTTTCTTGATACTATATCCTTATCCTTTAACTCTCCTGGAGTTATGCTCTGTGGAATCTCCCCATAACTTCTGTTTGAAAACTACTGTTTCACCATACTTAGCCCCTCAATAAGAACAATTGTAATTTACTAGAAACATGTTTGGAGGCATTCTGCTTTGTATTTTATGGTAGCCCATTCAATATGAATAGAGTTGGCCACAGCCACCTGTGCCTGTCTTTGTACCAGTACTGTTGAAGAAGCATGCTTATAAGTTTATTTTCTTTGTCTTGAAGGCTGTGGCAGCAGTGCCTGAAGATATGACAACAAGCTTTGATCCTAGTGAGCCATCATTAGAATCGCTGATATGTGTGGTTGCCATTGGACTGCTTACCATTTTCTTATTTCTTTGGAGAGGATACCGATCAGTAAGTAACTACTTATAGTATGTGAATGGTCATTCTAAGTTTTTTGTTTTTGTTTTTTAAGTTTATTTCCTTTTATGTGCATGACTGTTTTGCTTGTATGCATGTGTGTGTGGTACGTGTTCCTGGTCTACAGAAGTGATTAGTGGGCCATTGTTGGATGCCTGGAGCTGGAATTACTGATGACTGTGAGCTATAATGTCGATGATGGCATTTGAATTTTGGTCCTCTACAAGACTAACAAATGTTCTGAGCCATTTCTCTCTAACCTTCATTTTGTGTTTAGATTGAACATCTAATTGGAGAAACTTGTTATTTCAGGGAAATGAGTTAGGTCTTAGTGTTCTGAGTTATGCTAACAGGTGGTTTTTAAAAACTGAACAGAGATTAACAGAAATATTTTTATGTAAGTGTATTTTAAAGGATTTTATTGTAGGGATACTACACACTAGTACTAAAGCCCCAACTTTCTTCTTTCCCTTTTTCTTCTTTAAATTTGGGGTGTCTGTGATTGTTTTTAACAATATTAAAAAGTTTGCAGGTGTATCTACTTCCCAACTAAGAGTAAAAATCGCCACTTTCATGGTTCTCCTGGATCCTATATTGCTTTTTCCTATGGATCCTATATTGCTTTTTCCTATGCTAACTGTTTTTAAGGAGGGAGTCATAACATAGCCTTTTCTTTCTGAGACTTCCTTTTAGATGTTGGCCTTTGTGCTTCTGACTGACTTCATTTCTAATATCTTCATGGTTTTTTCTTCCTTACCTTCTGGTTACATATATCCTACTGGTTTTTTTTTTTTTTTTGTCATTTTTTTTTTCTTCCAGTTTTCTGTCTCTGTTTTCTAGGTGGCATGAGTGTTCTTGTTTGCGTCCCTTGATCACTTTACCCTATCCCCACTGTTCTCAAGGGTGGATTTATCCCTTCCTTATCGAAAGCTGAAGTATGAAGAAGAAAAATACTAATGAGTTTTTTTAGTCAGTCAAGGTCTAGAGTCCAATGATATTTCATATATTTTTATTTTGATTATTAACCGTAGGAGATTTAATAATGGTGGCTCCTTAAAATACTTTGTTTTAGAGCCAATATATGCATGGGAAACATGGACTTAAGTCTTTAGAATAAGACTGTTTCAGAGCCTTTAATATGATAACACACATGATACCACACAATGGGAGACCTTACTATATAGCATTGTTTTCATTTGAAATAGAAGGCTTTCCGGTAATTTATTTACCATAAGGCCATAAGAAAGTTGGCATCTTAAAGCTGGAAGTAGAAGTCAGATAGATTTGCTTGAAGATATATTTGTTTTAATGTAATTTTGTTAAATTTTTGTTTCAGATTCAAAGCCGACTTTATTTGAGTAAGTAGTCTTTTTTGATTTTAGATCTTGTGATTGTATATAATTTAAAGCGTTTTCACACTTTAGTCATAATAATCTTTTCTTTGCTTGCTCAGTAAGAGAGAATAGACTGGCTGTGGAACTTGCAATGGAAATCAAAAAGAAATGTGGATCTGATTGACAAAGTGTGCCTTGCTCAAGAGGAGGTAAGATGTGTTTGAAAATACAATCCATCACAGTGTGGAGCTTAATTGTTCTCCATGGGTTATTGCCTGCCATCAGAGCTTTGTTTCAGACCAGAGCTCTGTTGCTGCTCAACTTCATCACTTAGCCATTCTCTTTGCAGCCACCCTGGTGATGTGTAGTGTTTACCTTCCCTGACTAATTTGTCAAATCACCTTGATTTGCTTATTGCTCATTTAGATATTGTAAAATTGCCTTTTAAGTCTTTTACACGTTAAAAGATGACTTTATTTTTATTGTGTGTGTCTATTTGTGTCTATGTGTGTAGGCGTGTACCAAGAAGGCATTTGTGTGGTGATCATAGGATCATAGGACATGGAGGAGTCACTTTCCTCTTTTTATTACGTGGGTCCCTAGGATTGAACTCAGGTTATCAGTCTTGGCAGCAAGCTCCTTAACTACTTACTGAGCCATCACACTTGCCCATTTCCATCCATTTAAATGCACTCATAATCTTTCTCAGTTTATGCCATATAGATTAGGGCCTTTGCTTTTACTATTTTATGTCGTATATAAGAAAGAGTTTTGTCAGATATATGGATTGTAAATCTCTTCTACTCTGTGGCTTACATTTCTGTTTTGTTCAGTGTCTTAGAAGGTAGAGGATTTGAATTACAATTTAATGTAGTGTAATGTTTCATGAGATTTTTTTTTTTGCTTATCAAGGATGTAAAGGTACTTTTACTTGTTATCATGTAGAGACTTTATTTACTGTTTTCATTTGGGCATGCTAGGGCTACTGTGACAAAATACCTTTAGCAGCAGAAGTGAATTTCCTTACAGTTCTTGAAATGAGTCCATGAAGATATAGCCAGGCTTTGCTTCCTCTGTGACATGTCCCTTGACTTTAGATATTGCTGTCTGCTTGTTATGTCTCTCTCTGTCCTAGTGCTCTCCACATAGGATATCAGCCATATTACATTGCAGTCATCTTAAATCCCTCATTTTAACCTAGCTGTATTTAAAGGCTTTGTCTCTAAATAACACAAATTCTGAGGTGCTGAGACAGGGTTTCTCTGTGCATCACTGGCTGTCCTGAAACTCACTCTGTAGACCAGGGTGGTCTGAAACTCACAGATTTTATCTTCCTTACTTGCCTTACTTATCACATGATATAAATGTCTGATAGCCAGTTACCACATATTGTTCTACTGACAGACTGGAGAAGCCATTAATCTGTTCAGGGGATAGTAGATGACTCACTTCTTTAGATCCACTTTAGTCACACTTGCTGTTAGGGTTTTCAGCCCCAGCAGATGTGGGGCAACTTTGGTAGTCACAAAGGAAACGTTCTGCCATATGTTGCCTTGGCTGGTGGTTGTGGCTTGTTTGTAGACCTGGCTTTCCTCAGCACAGTGTTTAGATTGCAAAACTAAGCTCATAAAATCCAAGGGTACTTTACATGGTGGATATAAATTCTGTTTCCTTCTTTGGTGTCTATTTAGATACAAGTTGAGATAAAATTTGTATTTTTTTCCTCATGTGTTCCCTTGTTTTATTCAGTATGAAGGCTTAGAGTCATCCTTAAAGGAGGCCAACTTTGACAAGGCATCAACAGAAGTACAGAGTTTGAAGGAAAAAAAAAAAGTATGATGTAAAAGCTAGGGAAAAGGTTCTTATTAGAAATATCTTGTCTCCCCAAAAATAATTATGTCAGAGAAATATGAAATTGTGTATCTGGATCTTACAATGTACAGAAAAAGTTAGTGGAAACAGAATAGTTGTAGGTGGCATAAAATATTTTAAAACATAACAGTTTTATCTCTTGTCATTAACTTGTTTTGAGGGAATACAAAATCAGTTTATCAGAAGCTATAGATTTATAGAAAGAAAGAAATTCTGCATTCTGTACTCTGGTGAATGGATTGGAAAGACAATTCCTACTTTTGACATAGTTTGCTCCAGGAAAGAGACATAGAAATCTCACAAATTTAAGCATAGTAGCAGACAAGTAAGCTGTGACCATATTGTTTTTTCTTACCATGGTAGTAGATATTTACTAAAATTAGAATTGAGGTTTACATTGTAAAGAGTGGCATGGTGATAAATATTTAATCCCTTTCTGTGCATCAACCCTTGTCTACACACTCCATCACAGCCAGTTTTCAGTCCATAACCATGATTTCACAGAATGGAGAGTTTAGGAGAGATGGACAGTTAACTCTCCTGATTCAGAGGACACAATGACTTGTCTTAACAGACAGAGTATGATGTGATGAAGTGCCTCAATACTCTTTGCAAGTGGAACGGTTATTAAAACTGAGTTGTGAGCCTGTAGAGTAAATAGAAGTAGCCTGCTCCTACCAATATAAAACAGAAAAAAAACTTTTTCCCTTAGATTATGTGTTCAGTCCAGTATGTCAGTTCTGTCATCCTCTGTCCTGAGTAGCAAGTCTGTGTCTTATGATTTAGAATGTCCTTGTAGAATCTGCAGGGAGTTTAGACTCCAAATAAACTCATTAATTTTTCTTTTTATTTTTACATAAAAGTTTTTTTGGAATGCAACTGTTTTAATTCCTTCAGTGGGTATTCATTGTTTTCCGTGGTTAACTGGTGTGCACCTAAAATACTTACACTTTTTTTATAGAAGTTGCTGGCAACTGTTAAACCTGTTGTTATTTTAATATTTGAGAAAATGAAAAAATGTATAAAGTGTTTATAAATTTGATATACTCATCTGATTTTTACCCTACACTCATCTGATTTTTACCCTAACTAAAAATTCTTATGTTTGGCTTGTTTAAGTTAGCTTTCTATTTTAGGCAACTTATAAAAATCTAGAAAGAGATAAATCTAAACTTGAAGAAGAAATATTACTTATAGAGAAGAAACTAGAAGAAGAGAGATCTAAACATCATGAAGAAGAGGAATTGGTGAGTCTTATATATTCCAAGAGAATTATGAATCTTACCTATAAATTAAATATTGATTAAAATATTATATGTGAGCCAACCATAGTGGCACAAACTTATAATACGAGCACTTGGGAGGAAGAAACAACAGTTCCAAGCTATCCTGCCCTGAAATGTAAAGAAACTCATGTATATAAAAAATGGAATGCAGGCTGGGCATTCTTGACAAATGCCTTTAATCTTAGCACTCTGGAGGCAGAGGCAGGCAGATCTCAGTGAGTTTGAGGCCAGCCTGCTCTACTGAATGAGTTCCAGGAAGGTTCCAAAGTGACACAGAAAAACCCTGTCTTGAAAAATCAAAAGAAAAAAATGATGTAGAATAATATGAGAACAAAAATTTTCACATCTGATCTGATCTTTTCACCTCCTTTATTTATTTGTTGTTATGTTTTGTTTTTTCAAGACAGGATTTCTCCATGTAATAGTTCTGGCTGTTGTGAAACTCACTATGCAGACCAGGCTGGCCTGGAACTCACAAAGATCCACCTCCCCTCTGCCTCCTGTTTTCTGGGATTAAAGGCATGTGCCAACACCTCCCATCAAACTTTTACTTTTAGATGTTATGATGAGTGGCTTGTGCATATTCCTGTATTCTTATTGTTTATATTCATTGACATAGTATTAGAATATAGTCCTGTATGTATAAGTGAGGCTGGCCTAAAACTCATGACCTTCCTGCCTGTGCCTCTTAAGAGCTGGGGTTACAAGTGTGCACCCCCACACTTGGCTCGCTTGTTATTTTAAATGGAAAATTTCAATATTTACGTTGGAAGTAACCATAAAGAATATAACTTGAATATTCATAGTGAAAAATATATGACATATATAATATATATATATATATATATCTCATTTATTTTACTTTAAATTCTGGATTAAGCAAAATCTTGATGTGTGTGAGATTATTTAACATACGAATTAGTGGGTTCACCTTAAACCTGAAAAGTTCTATGATGTATTGCTTTTGTAAGGACATCATGTGATTACATAATTTTTAAAATCCTTGTGAGCACTTGGAATGCAAGCTGACAAGGCCTCCTTATCTGGCCTCTCCCTTTTATTAACAGTAAATTAACAATGTACCTCACTAATGCATGTTGTCTTGGAGCAAAATGGACTTATTAAATACTTACTGACTGATACTGTCTTTTCAGATGAGTGACCTTTCAAAAATGATCCAGTCTCTAGCAGATGAATCACAGTCTGTCAAATCACAGCTAGCTGAAGTAAGTTAAGTTGAAATAAATTAGTCTGTCACTTCTGAAGACCATTTATGTTTCATATTATTATTAGGTATATTTGTCAGAGTTTTTTAGAGGAACAGAACTTATGAGATGTCATCTATCTATCTATCTAAATAGATATCTATCTATATATTGGGTATTTATTAAAGCGATTTCCAGGCTGTGTTCCACTCAGACCAGCAATGTCAGTCTACCAACAGAGAGTCCAAGAATCCAGCACTTTCTCAGTCCATGAGGCTGGATATCTCACCTGATACTCAGTATACACTGGAATACCAAAGAAGTAGGCTGTAATGCCAGTGAGGGTGAGGACCAGCAAGCTTCCTCTTCCATGTCCTTTAGATAGGCTGCTGCCAGAAGGTATAGCCCGGAATATAGGTGGATCTTCCCACCTCAAAAGATCCAGATTAAATGTGGGTCTTGCCACTTGAAATTATTTAATTTAGAAACAGTACTCACAGCTTCCTTGGGTTTTAGTTAATTCCAGTTATCATTGATAACCAAACAGCCATCACATTAGGTAATAAAATATTGTTAGTATTTGAAATGTAGCCAATCTTAAATATGCATTTGTTTTAATGTGTTACTTTGATTGAAATTCATTTTCCTCTAGATATATTTAACCTAGGAATGTATCTGAGCACTCTTGAAGTTGTGTAACATGTATCAATAATAAATAGATTTGCTTCCTGCTGTATAAAGTTTAGGTCAGGAGACAAAGTGTAAGGGGTGGGGTCTTTCTCTAATATCTACTCCTACACTAGTGAGCATGGAAGAGAGAGGTCACCAGTGGACTGTCCTCCTGAGACCTCCAGAAAGCCTTCAATTCTAGTTAGAGTTTCTTTTCTAAAATCACAAAGTGGGCAGGCAAGCAAGCAAATTTTTCTGAAGTGTACATGGCAGTAGCAGGTTGCTACGGGTGACAATCCATTCTTTCAGCTATTTCTCCAGGTTATTCCCTTCCTGGTAGCAAGTGAAGCCATGTTTGGCAAATAGGCAGTAAAGCAGTGTTTTAAGTAAGCCGCTAAATAAACCAATAATTCTGTAACTAATAATTGTTCTTTTCTATTTCAGTAGTTAACAAAATGGTCTGCATTGTACATGGAAGGTTCAATAATTTGTTCAAAGTCATGTGGCAAATGACTTTGTCTATCAAAGTAGTGTTGATACTGCCTCTGCTGTAAATAGTGGAATGTTTTGGCTTTTGCTTACATTTTATGTTCTTCAGAAAAGACATAATCAGGGGGCTTTCTGCTTAATTGTTATAAACGGTGTATTTCTCTTACTTAGGCCAAAACCACACTAAGAATATTTGAAATAAATAAAGAACGACTTAAAGGAGTAATAACAGATACCTTGAATGAAAATTCTCAACGTCAGGAAAGCGTGCGGCCAGGTTTGTAGACTACAGATATTTTTTTTTTAGATATGAATATAGCCTTTGATGTTGTGGGTACTCACAAATGAACCATGTGTGGAGTTGTGTAGTGAATGAGTAAGCTTATGAGAGCAGGAAGTCTCCCCTGCAGACTCCCATAAAGGATTTAAAAGTGTGTTCTTCCATCTGTCTTCTCCCCTGATAGAAGGCAGTCAGAATTTTTACTCTCACAGGAGACATCGGCTAACAGGATTCCTCACAATAAAGACTGCAGTAAGAGTTAACAGATTACCAATTGGGGTGCTAGAGGAGGGAGGAGTTCTTGGGTAATGTAAAGTGAAATCTTACCTTTTATCCTCACCCTCCTCTCTCCTAGACACTAACCCACACATGCTCTCGCTGCTGTTGTCATAAATCTGTTTGTCTTCCCAGGTCCCAGGCCCCTTCCCCTCTGTCTCTTTTCTTCCTTCCTTTCCCTCCCTTGCTGTCTCTCTTTTCCTTCCTTTCTATAGTGTGCATATTGAGATGGGGGTGTTTGTGGGGGTGTGGTGTGAGACTTTGACTGTGCACAGGTATGACATGTTGTTTGTCCTTACCTTTACTTGTTACAGACATACTGTCCTTTTCCTCTTGTGGAAACGCTTTTACTATCTTCCCAAATTACATTTTCTTCTTACAGTATTATGGATCTCTGAATAGTAGTCTGTCTGACTTGACTATATATCCTGAGTTGCCCGACGTTTTATTTTACTACTTGGCTTCCTGTAATGGATATTTGTACTCTATCTCAATGGAAATGCCAATCACTCAACTACGTTGGCTAATTTGTTCATTTACAATTCTATTATTGTCATTATTGTTATTTTTTTTTGAGAGTGTCTTGTATTGAAATTCAGGGTGACCTGGAACTTACTGAGGTACTCAGTCTCCTAATTGCTGGGTTCAAAGTTATGTGTGTGCCTACTGCCAGATTTTTCCTCTTCTATTTTTTATTTTAATTATATGCATGTGTGTAACTTGATTGTAGATATGTGCACACAAGTGCAGGTACCTTTGGAGGCCACAAGCATCAGATCCCCAACATGGTCTGTAAGGGGAACCAAATTCAGGTCTCGTGAAATAACCATAGATACTCTTGGACTCCTTCATTTTCTTCTGGGGGCCATTTTTCTTGGAATCTTAGATTCTCCTAGTCCAATAAGAATGTGTAATGAGTGGCAGTGGTGTCACATACCTATTTATCCCAGCACTGTGAACAGAAGCAGGTGGATTTCTGTGACTTTGAGCCCAGCCGGGTCTACAGAATGAGATGCTGGATAGCCAGAGGAACCATGTCTCCAAGAAGGAAAGAAAGGAGAAGGAAGGAAGGAAGGAAGGAAGGAAGAAAGGAAGGAAAGAGAAAGAGAAAACAAAGAAAAAGAAAAATGTGTTCTATAGATCTACTGGGCATTTTTGTCCTGATACTACAGTTCACTCAGCAGCCAAGGATTCTTGTTTCCTTATCTTAAATGTTCTGTTTCCTGTTTCAAAGAGAACATTTGTGATTAATTAACTTGTTTATCTTTCAGATAATAAGGTACAGTAGGTAATTTTAAAAGGCAATTGCATAGCTGTAAAGGTCTTATTTTTCCATTTTTAAAAAGATTTTATTTTAAAATTAATTATTATTTTTTTTAATTTTGTGCATGTTATATTTGTGTGCATTTGTGTTCATGATTAAGGTGCTCTGAAAGGCCAGGGAAGGATGTTGAATCTCCTGTACTTGGAGTTATAAGTGGCTGTGATGAGCCCGATATAGGTGCTGGGAACTGAACTCAGGACCTCTTGGAGAACAGTGCATGGTATTAACCACTGAGAAATTGCTCTAACTCCTTGTTCTCTTTCATGTTTCTGATATTTCAATACTTATTTGCACTTCTTGGTGTTTTGATTCTGCTTTTGTTGTTGTTAGTGTGACAGGGTTTCTCTGTGAATAGTCTTGGCTGTTCTGGAACTCACTATAATCTCATGCAGGTCTCAAACCAGGAGATCTTTCTGCTGTGCTGCATTTTTTTTTTTAAATAAAATTTTGATATTGCTGCATTGTCTTCCCTTTCCATGTTTGGTTTTGAAACTTGAATGATGTGTTGATTATGGGACCTTCTTTGCTTGCTGCCCTTTTTTTTCTTCTCGAACATTATCTTTCTGTTGTCTCTGGCTCTCTGAGATTGTGTGATGATGTGTCACATAGGGTTTCATTAATATGTTGGATTCTTACATTCTGGAAACTCTTGAAACTGTGGGTTACTAGAACTATTTATTGTGACAATTTAAATTTTGTTTTTTTTTCTTTTATTTAAATTTGAAAAAATGTTTTACATGTCAATCCCAGTTCCCCATGTTCCCATTCACCCCTATAACCCCCACCAAACCCCACCCTATCCCCTTTCTGCTTCTCAGGGAGGGTAAGGCCTTCTGTGACCAAATAGCAATCCAAGAAATATTGGAGAGACTAACTTTAAAGCCCTTCCATATAAGTGATATTGACGACTACCTGATTCATTGAGTGTGTGTGTGTGTGTGTGTGTGTGTGTGTGTGTATTCATTTGTTCACGTGGATACATATGTGTAATTGTGTGTAGTGACTAGAGGCCTTAATAGTGTCAGGGATGGTCCAGTTTATTTTTTTAGAAAGAATCTCTAAGTAATTCTGTCTATCCTCGAGCTCCCTATGTAGATCAGGATGACTTTGATTCACAGAATTCCCCTGCATCTGCCTCCTGAGCACTGAGGTGAAAGGTGTGCATTGCTGTGCTGGATAACATGTCATCTCATTGAGCTGGTTGGCCTTAAATCCAATTAGAAAGTGGTTGCTACTTTAATAACACTTATGCTACTGTGGTACCATAAGCCACATCTTGCTGCTGGGTTGTTATTTCAGCTTGTGTGCTTCACAGGTAGGTGACATTGATGAATATGTTTGGACTGCTGTATGCATAACACCTTACAGCACTTTGAAGCTTGCCAGTAGGGATGAAACATTCAGCTATATGTATGCATAAATGAAAAAAACGAGATGAGTGGCAGAAAATGTGATGTGTATATGCATGTTTGAGAGAAGACAGGTACAGGGAGGTAATAGGAGAGATATCAGGAGCATGTGTACACTTGTGTGTTGGTATGTGTGTATATGTTCAGGCATGTGTAGGGACTAGAGGAGGACATTAGATCATATAGAATTACAGGCACCTGTGAGCTACTCAGTGCAGGTGCAGGGAATTGAGTGTGGGTCCTCTGCAAGAGCAGTATGTGCTTTTAACTACTCTACTGTCTCTCCAGTTCCCTAATTCTTCCCTTTGGTTTCCATTCCTCCTTATACTACTGCTTTCAATCATGAGCCTCTCTGGATTGTGTCAAGTCACCTTATTTAGGATTTTCTAACTGGCTTATGTTTCTTCTATTGTCTGTGGATTGTTTGGTCTCACATGTGTTCCTTCTGTTTGTCCATTTTCTTTTGGGGTTGATGCCTTCTCCTTTCACATCTTTGGTCTATCATCTCAGGTTTTAGAAAACATTGTGGTGAGGACTCCTGTGTTGATTGTCCTTACTATAATAAAAACTGAGTCATCCTCACTTCAAAGTCCTACCATGTATACCAGGCTAAACTGGAACTCACAGTGCAGTTCAGGCTCAGATTATCTGCAGAATATATATATATTTTATATATATTCAGAATATATATATATATCAGATTATATATATATATATATATATATATATATATATATATATATATATACTTGGGCATTGGTGGTCACATACCTTTTTTCCAACACCTGGGAGGCAGAGGCAGGTGTATCTCTGCTGTGAGTTCCAGGCCAGCCTGGTCTACAGAGTAGGTTCTAGGACAGGATCCAAAGCAACACAGAGAAACCTCTATTGGGAAAACAAAACAATCAAACAAAAGCAATGAGATGTACCAGAGTATTTTAGGGTACAAAGATAGAAAGAATTGACTAGATTTTTCATACAAGTATGTGTCAAAATCGTGTACTTGATTAAAATTTTCCTTGTAAATCAATTGAAGAATATTTCTTATTTTATAGTCTTCTGCTTTGAAAGTTCTTTATAAAAAGGAACCACATCTGAGTCCCTATTTAAGTAGCAACCCTATCTTTTTTAAATATCATTTAATAACACATTTAGTATCTTTTAATGATATTGAAAAAATTCTTCTAAACATTGTGCTATCTTTCACATCGTTGTTATTGTTTTCCTGTCAGTATTTAGAAGAAGCTAAAGTCATGAAAGAACAAATGAATCAACTCAATAAACAGAAAATAGCAATCGAAGTATCCAACGTACAGGCAGAGCAACTCCTAAAGGTTAAGGAAAATCAGATCAAGGTAATGGCTTGTTGGGTTTAGTCACTAGTTGGTCACAATTTTATGCTTAATTGTAAATTCAAATAATTTTAACAGCTTTTATTTGCTATTGTGTCTTTTTGTTACATTTCAAATGCTTCTAGAACATACACAGATTTGTAATATATATGTTAACACCCATGTCTTTGTTCGCCAGTATTTTAGCCTAGTGTTCATGAATAAAGAAATAAAATAATGATTTTTACCTTTTTGTTATTTTATATAACCAATTCCATTTAAATGAAAACAAACATTAGACAATATTTGGGAATTTGGGCATCATTCTTTCCAAACTACTTCCTGCTAGTAAGGGGCTCTGACAAGGTAATTCCAAGAAGATGCAGAAATCCTGGCTGTAGTCTGTAAGTATGCTTTGTCCAGCTGTTTTGAATGTAGGATCACCTGGTACTCTGTTTCAGGCAGTCTGGCTTTATGAAACCACATTAGTCTGGAAGGAATCCACATCTTTTCATTTTCTGTGGAAACAAAAATAGAAATCCTTTTCCCCAGTAACTTGTCCTTGAGCTTAAATTTTGGAGTCAAAGCATTTTTTTAATTTAATTTATTATTTTACATGTCCATCCCAGTTCCCTCTCCCTCTCTGCCCTCTCACATGCACTCTATCCACCAGCAGTGGAGGAGTGTTCCCATTTCTCCACATCCTCTCCAACATGAGTCATCATTGGTGTTTCTAATTTATCCATTGTGGCAGGAGTAAGATGGTATGTCAAAGATGTTTTGATTTGCATTTCCCTGATAGCTAAGGATGTGGAACATTTTCTTAAGTGTCTTTCAGCCTTTTTGATTTCCTCTGTTGAGAATTCTTTCTTCATTCTGTAACCCATTTTTTAATAGGGTTATTTGGTGTTATGTTGACTAGTTTCTTGAGTTCTAAAATTTGCCCTTTGTCGGATACAGGATTGGTGAAAAATCTTTTCCCATTCTTGTGGGCAGCCATTTGGTCTTGTCCACTGTGTCCTTTGCCTTACATAAGCTTCTAAGTTTGAAGAGGTCCCTTATTAATTGTTTTTCTCAGGGTCTGTGCCAATGGAGTTATGTTCAAGGATACCTCCTACTTTCTCTTCTAAGAGGTTCAGTGTGGCTGGATTGAGGTCTTAGATCAATTTGGGCTTTAGTTTTGTGACAGACATGGGTCTGTCTGCAGTCTTCTACACACCCTCATCCAATTGTGCCAGCACCATTTGTTGAAAATGCTGTCTGCACCCCATTGTATAATTTTAGCTGTTTTGTCGAAAATCAGGTGTTCATTAGGTGTGTGGGTTAATATCAGGATTTTCAATTCCATTCCATTGATCTGCCTGTCATTTTTATGCCAATAACAGGCTGTTGTCAGAACTATAGCTCTGTAGTAGAGTTAAAAATCAGGAATGATGATGCCTCCTGAAGTTCTTATATTGTATATGGTTGTTTTGGCTATCCTGTGTCTTTTGTTTTTCCATATAAAGTTGATTATTATCATTTCAAGGTCAGTGAAGAATTGTGGGGGGATATTAATGGGGATTACATTGAATCTGTAGATTGCTTTTGGTAAGATTGCCATTTTTACTATGTTTATCCCACCTGTTCAAGAGCATGGGAGATCTTTCAATTTTCTGGTGTCTTTCTTAATTTCTTTCTTTTAGAGCCACAATGTTCTTGTTATATAGGTCTTTTATTTGTTTGGTAAGCATTACACCAAGATTCTTTATGTTGCTTGTGGCTATTGTAAAGGGTGATGCTTCTCAATTTCTTTCTCTGTCTCTTTGTCGTCTGAAAAAAGTAGGGCTATTGTTATTTTTTTGAGTTTATCTTGTATACTGCTAATTTTCTGAAGGTGTTTATCAGCTGTAGGAGTTCCCTGGTAGAGTGTATTGGGTTGCTTATATAAACTATCATATCATCTCCAAATTGAGACAGTTTGAGTTCTTCCTTTTCAAATTGGATCCCGCTGATCTGCTTTTGTTGTCTTATAGCATTAGCTAGAACATCTAGTATGATATTGAAGAGATATGGAGAGAGAGGGCAGCTTTGTCTTGTTCTTGATTTTATAGGAATTGGCTTAAGTTTCTCTCCATTCAGTTTGATTTTGGCAGTTGGTTTGCTGTATATGGTTCATACTATGTTTAGGTATGTCCCTATTATCCCTGACCTCTCCAAGACCTTTATCATGAAAAGGTGTTGAATTTTGTAGAAAGAATTTTCAGCATCTAGGGGAGATAATCATATGGTTTTTCTTTTTCTGTTTGTTTATATGGTGGATCACCTTGATAGATTTTTGTATGATAAACCATCCTGCATTCCAGGGATGAAGCCTACTGGTCACGGAGTATGATTTCTCTGATGTATTCTTGAATTCAGTTTGCCAGTATTTTATTGAGTATTTTTGCATTGATGTTCATCAGGGATATTGGTCTGTAGTTTTCTTTCTAGTTGTGACTTTGTGAGGCTTGGGTACCAAGGTTATTGTAGCCTCATAAACAGAGTTTGGCAATGAACCTTCTGTTTCTATTTTGTGGAATAGTTTGAGGAGTAGTGGTATTAGTTCTTCCTTTAGTGTTTGGTAGAATTCTGCACTGAATCCATCTGGCTCTGGACTTTTTTGGTTGGAAGGCTTTCGATGACTGCTTCTATTTCTTTGCAGGTTTTAGGTCTATTTAAGTTGTTTTTCTGTTCTTAATTTAATTTTGGTAAGTTATAATTATCCAGAAATTTGTCCATTTCCTTTGAATTTCAATTTTTGTGGAATGCAGATTTTCAAAGTATTACCTGAAAATTATCTGCATTTCCTCTGTTGTTATATTCCCCCTTTTCGTTTCTGATTTTGTTAATTTGCATATTCTCTCTCTGCTTTTTCGTTAATTTGGATAAAGGTTTGCTTTTTCGTTAATTTGGATAAAGGTTTGTCTATCTTGTTGATTTTCTCAGAAAACCAACTCTTCGTTGCATTGATTTTTTTTTTTGTATTGTTTTCCTGGTTTCTATTTTGTTGATTTCAGCCATCAAGTTGATTATTTCCTGGCATCTACTTCTACGGGTGAGTTCACTTCTCTCTGTTCTAAGGCTTACAGTTGTGCTGTTAATTCTCTTATGTGACTATCCTTTGTTTTCTTCATATGGGCACTTAGTGCAATGAACATCCCTCGTAGCAATGCTTTCAAGGTGTCCCATAAGTTCGGGTATGTTGTGTCCTCATTCTCGTTGAATATCATAAAGTCCTTAATTTTTTTGTTTATTTCCTCTTTGACCTAGGAGTGGTACAATTGCACATTGTTCAGTTTCCTTGAGTTTGCAGGTTTTCTGCTATTTGTGTTGTTGTTGAATTCCAATTTTAAAGCATGGTGGTCTGATAAGATACAGGGGACTATTCCTATTCTCTTGTATCTGTTGAGGTTTGTTATGTCACCTAGTATGTGGTCGATTTTAGAGAAGGTTCTATGTGGAGCAGAGAAGAAAGTATATTCTTTTTTCTTTGGATGGAATGTTCTATAGATGTCTGTTAATCCCAGTTGAGACATAACTTCTGTTAGTTCTTTTGTTTCTGTGTTGAGTTTCTGATTGGTGGTCCTGTCTAGTGTTGAGAGTGGTATATTGGAAGTCTCCCACTGTAAGTGTGTGAGGTGTTATATGAAGTTTGAGTTTTAGTAGCGTTTCTTTTTCAAATGTTGGTGCCTTTGTATTATGGGCATAGATGTTCAGAACTGAGACTTTGTGTTGATGGATTTCCCTACGATGAATACGAAATGACCGTCTTCATCTTGTTTGATTAATTTTGGTTTGAAGCCTAACTTGTTAGATATTAGGATAGCTATGCTTGCTTGCTTCTTGGTTCCATTTGATTGGAATATCTTTTCCCAACCCTTTACCCTGAGGTAATGTCTACCTTTGAATCTTAGATGTGTTTCTTGTATGCAGCAGAAGGATGGATTCTGTCTTCATATCAATTCTGTTAGCCTGTGTCTTTTTATTGGTGCGTTAAGGACATTAATGTTGAGCGTGAGTAAGGACCATTGATTGTTGATGCTTGCTTGATTTAGGTTTGTTGTTGGCAGTGGTATTTTGAATATATTAGTTCTACTTTACCCTTTGTTTCTGGTGTAGTTGGATTATCTGTTGTCTACATTTTTGTGGGGCGTAGTTACCTTCCTTGGGCTGGAGTTTACCTTCCAATAATTTCTCAGTATGGCTGGATTTGTAGACAAGTTTTGGGAAAATCTCGTTTTGTCATTAAATATCTTGTTTTCTCCATCTATAGTGATTGAGAGTTTTGCTGGATAGGAGTAGCCAAGACTGGCATTCTGTGTTATCTTAATATTAAAGAACATCTATCCAGGATCTTCTGGCCTTGAGGGTTTCCATGGAGAAGTCAGGTGTATTTTTGATAGGTCTGCCTTTATATGTTACCTGTCCTTTTTCCTTCACTGCGTTAATATTCTTTATTCTTTATGCTAGGTGTTTTGATTATTATATGGGAGGGGTCTTTTTTCTTTGGTCCAGCCTATTTGGGGTTCGGTATGCTTCTTGTACTTTCATGGGCATGTCCTTCTTCAAATTTGGAAAAGTTTTCCTCGATGATTTTGTTGAATATGCTTTCACCATCTTGAGCTGGGCTTCTTCACCTTACTCTATGCCTATTATTCTTAGGTTTGGTCTTTTCACGGTGTCCAACATTTCCTGTATGTTTTTTGTTAAGGATTTGTTGGATTTATGATTTTCATTGGTCAATGAATCTATTTCTTCTAGTTTATCTTCTGTACCTGAGATTCTCTGTTCCATCTCTCGAATTCTATTGGTTATGCTTGTGCCTGTAGTTCCTGATTTTTTGCCCAGTTTTTCTATTTCCAGCATTCCCTCAGTTTGTGTTGCCTTTATTTTCTCTATTTTAGTTTTCGGTCTTGAACCATTTCATTCACCTGCTTATTTTTTTTTTTTTGGCGGCTTTCAGTACTTTCTTTGCTTTCCTTAAGGAATTTGTTCATTTCTTCCACTTTTTGTTTGTTTGTTTTTTCTCCATTTCCTTAAGGGATTTTTCTCACATCTTCTTTGAGGGCCTCTATCATTTTTATGACAGAAATTTTTAAGTTGTTCCCTTCTGCTTCCTCTGCTTTGTTGTTGTGTTCCATTCTAGTTGGTGTAGATTCCTTAGATTCTGGTGGTTTCATGCTTGTCTTTCTGTTGTTACGTGTTTTCTTGTATTGCCGTCTTCTCATAGCTTCTTCCAGTAGGTGTTGGTGGGGTCTCCCCTCTCTCTATGATACTTCCCCAGTGGGATTTTGTGGTCAGTGAGTCAATATCTATATCTCTGGGTAGTCCAAGCTCTATAGGAAGTCTCTCCACAGACAGGGACCCAGGGATGGGGTCAGGGCTGAGGATAATGTAGAAGATGCCACTAGCCAATGGCTCTAGTCAATGGCTGGGGGAGGAGGACAGAGGCTGAGCTGAAACTTGGGAAGTTTCTGCATGATAGTCTGATCTCACTGGAAACTGGGACTCTCCAGCTGAGGCCTCTTTCTTTAGCAGAGGCCCTGCTTTAGGGGTCAAGGATCTTGCCGGCGGCAGGAACTCAGAGTGGACTCTCAGATATAGGCGGATTTCACAAAAAAAAAAAAAAAAAAAAAAAAAAAAAAAAAAAAAGAAAAAAAAAAGAAATATCAACAGCAGCAAAAAAATCAGTTGATGGTCTTCCAGTACTCCTTCAAAATATTTTACAACGTGTCTTTGTTTGTCTCAGTTGGACTCTCCAGCTAGTTACTTCCTTGTATAAATCAAGAATCTGTAGTTTAATTTTTGTGGGTATAATCATGTGAGTTTTTTGGCCCTCAGAAACCAGAAAGTTTGTAGTCCCTGCAGCTGAGGTTACAGGGAGTTGAGAAATGCTAGCTATGGGTAGTGAGATTGAATTTGGGCCTTTGTCAAGATAATATCTGCTCTTAACAGCTGAGCCATCTCTCCAGCCAGAGATGTTAATTTTTTAATTGGTGTGTATTTGTATGTGCCCATGTATAGGAATGTGCATTTGAGTGCAGTGCCAAAGATGTCTATGATCTTTTCATAGATTTGTATGAATCTTTTTATAGCTTTTGTATGTCTCGGAGATAGATGAAACACCACACAACATTTATCCCATTCCATATGTTATTGGCCACTGCATGCTTCCCACAGAGGCCAGAAGAGACCACTGGATGTCCTGGAGCTGGAGTTACAAGTTACCCATCTGATGTGGGTGCTGGGAAAAGAGCTTAGATGCTTTAGTAGAGTAACAAGTCCCAAATTGCTCAGCTATCTCTCCAGTCCAACTGTAAATTAGTAAAAAATATAAAGAATGTCAAAAGAAAGTATTTTAGGGAGTGGGGAGATGGTTTAGTGGGTTAGTGCACTTGGTCTGCAAACATAAGGTCTTGAGTTTGAATTCTAAGCACCCACATAAGAAGAGCATGGCTGCCCATGCCTGAGAGCCCCGCACAGGGGACAGAGACAGTGGAGATTAGAGCCTGTTGAGCAGCCATGCTTTTGAGATAGTGGAGTTCTTATTCCATGAGAGGTCCTGTCTCCAGGCAGTAAGGTAGAGTATGATGGAAGAAGACACTTGCATCTTCTTGCCTCATGCTCTTGCAGCTGTATGTGCACCTGCATACCCATGTGTGTATGATACACACAAAAGAAAATATTTTATTGCTTTGTAGTTAACAAGAATGAACCATTATAAAACACTGTATTTGATTTTGTTTTCTCTTCTTTCTTTTCCTTTTTCTCTTCATCCTTCCTTCATTCCTTCCTTCCCTCACTACCTCCCCTTCCTCCATCCCTCCCTACCATAATATCCATAATATTTATTTTTGCATACAGTGTTTCAAGAGGTAGTTTTTTCTTACCAGAACTCACTTTATTATATCAGGCTGGCTCCCATCTCACATAGATCTGCCTGCCTATTCCTTCTGAGTGGTGGGGTAAAAGATGTACCATGTTCAGCAAGTTAGTTTTTCAGGATTAATAGTCCCTAAATGTAGAGTTAGAAGATAAAAGCAACTGTTTACATATCTCAATTGCAGACAGATACTTAGGGTACAAAAGGATTTATTTATGGGGATTGATTTAAAAAATTATAATATTTAAAAATTTACTTGTGTATGTAGGTGTCAGGTATGTGCATTCCATGATGTGGGTATGGAGTTCAGAAGACAAATTTTGGGAGGCAATTTTCCTACCATGTGGGTTCTGGGGATTAAACTCAGATTATCAGTCTAAGTGGCAGATGCTTTTACCTGCCGAGCCATCTCATTGGCTCAGGATTGAATTTCAGATGAGTTAAGTTCTAAATTGTAAAGCTATTATCATGAGTCATTACCTTCTCTTTTTGTTTTCTCTTTTTACTCAATATCCAGTCTCTGATGGAGAGCCTGCTAAGGATGAAAGACTGGAATTCTGTGCTTGGGGGAAGATGTAACTGATGATGGTAATCTGGATGTAGAAGTGAACAATGACTTAGAGAATAACGTGCACTGACTTGTGGCGACTGATTCCTTGTTTCCTCTTCATTCCACATGTGTATCGAGCTCCTCATATACTTAGACTTGGCACATTTTGTCTATCTTCATGAAATACCACACTCCCTTTCCACCTTATTTAGCTAGTCTTTCGTGTAAATCTTTCTTTACCTCTTCAGAGTTGTAGACTTATTCTCTTTTGTTCTTCTCTATAGCCTATATTTCTCCATTATAACAACACAGCTCTTAAGTTCCATAACAAAAGGGGAACTATAGTAAGGTATAGTAATATAAAATATTTGTATTTTTCATTTTTATTTTATAATAGAAGAAACATAAATTCTATTTATGTTTAATAGTACTTAACTTGGAGCCATGGTTCATTAATAATTTTAGTGTTGAAGCCACGGTTGACTAATTAACCTGGATGCTGTAATGCCATAAGAATCTAAGCATAGTTAAGTCCATGGACACTGTTTAGGTAAATATTCAGTTCTTGTTGGGTCTCTGTAGTACACTGTCTATCTTCCTGAGTGTAGATCACTCTACCTTATATAAATTATTATTTTTATTTTAATTACTCTTTTTACTGAGACAACATCTTGCTGTAGGTCAAGCTGGCCTGGAATTCACTTTGGAGTCCAGGCTGGCCTTATACTCATGGGAATCCCCTTGTCTTAGCTGTGAAATGTTGGAATTAGAGTCAAGAGCAAGTAAGCTCAGCCTCAAATTATTTAATTTTGGCCAGAAGAGGGGTTGCAAGACTAGATAAAGAAGTAATGTATTCATTTGGATGTGTTCACTAAGTATGGTTTTATTTTTCACTGTAGGTAATCAGCCTAAGGGAGCTTTGAGGAAGCTAATATATGCTACTGAGGTTTGTATTAGTATGTAAAAATCTAGATGAGAAGGAGCAGGACCTACAGCAGACATGAAATCTGTGTGTCCTTAGTAACTAATTTAAAGATTGCTTTAATTTTTTGTATAAGGTTATATGATAAATGATTAGAATGTTCTTTTTTTTTGATGTATTAATTTTCTGTGCATTGGTGGTTTGGCAGTATGCTTGTTTTTATGAGGGTTTGAGATTCCCTGGAACTGGAGCTACAGACAGTCGTGAGCTGCCATGTGCGTGTAGAGACTTAAATTCAGGTCCACTGGAAGAGCAGCCAGTGTACTATCTCTCCATCCCCTAGGATTTCCTTATCAATTTCTTTTTTTATATCAACTTTAGAAATTTTTATAATTATAGTATTTAGAAATGTTCAAATTGTACACTCATTTCTTCCATTAAAGATATCTTCAGAATATTATTGTTTTATTTAATCATTCCCCATGTGCATTCTTTTCTTCTGGTTCCAATGGTTCTATATACTCTTTTGAGAAATAAATAATAGCTGTGTTTTCTTCTGGTTTATTCCCTCTGTCAGTTTTTAGTTAATCTGTGTAAAAAGTCCTGATTGTATAGGGTGAAGGCTGCTTTGGCAGCTGCACTGATGTCTTTATGTTGTCCATGATAACATCATCACAGGGAAAATAACTGCAGAACAGTAGTATGGGGTATATTGGGGATGTGTGTTTCTTTTGTGTAATTGATAATTGCTTTTCTTCTTCTTTTCCTTCTTTGAAGTTAAGTGCTTCGTTAAAAACCCTAGAAGGAGACAGAAACCAAATTTATACTCAGTTATCTGAAATAGATGCAACAAATGATGATCTTACAGGTAAGGGTTCTTGACGAGCATGTCTCCTTAAAGAGAATGAATTACTTCTGAGTTTTACTTTCAGTGGTAAACGTAGTCCATTTTCTCTTATATTTATGTAAATTATTAAAAGTATGTAAGAATGTGGAGTATGGTGCATCTTTGTTAGGGTTTCTATTGCTATGTAGAGACACCTTGACCATGGCAACTCTTATAAGGAAGACGTTCATTGGATCTGGCTTATAGTTCAGAGTTCTAGGGCCTGCAAATTATAAGTATACCATAAAGTAGTATTCCATAGTAATTGCACTGCAGAAGATCACACAGGCAGACATGGTGCTGGGGAAAGATCCAGGAGTTCTATATCTAGATCTGCAGGCAGCAGGAAGAATGCCACTGGGTCAGTCTTGAGCATCTGAAACCTCAAAGCTCACCCTCAGTGACAACTTCCTCCAACAAAGCAATACTTCCTAATAGTGTCACATCCTCTGAGCCTAGCGTGACATTTTCACTCAAGCCACCACAAGGAGTACAATGTTGGATATAGTTTTAGATGTTAAAAACTTTTAAATTTAATTTTTTCCTTACATTTTTTAAAATTGAGAAAGTGATCTTCAGGACTTGAGCTTGTAATGTCTACTATTTTAATATATTCATATAATTTATTAGCATACACAAGAGTGGCTTTACACCTGTAAAAATATATTTTTTTATGGAAAGCATTAAAAAAGTTTGCTGATTTTGTTCACATTGAAAAATAGATTTTGCCAGTTGTGTTTGTGCTGTAAAAGGTATATCACATCTCACTGTGTTAATGAAATAAATTCATATTTTTATATCTGAAAAGAATGGATGGACATATTCAAATGTCTGTGCTGGTTAACTCAGAATGGAACCACAGGCATCTTTTTTTTTTATTTCTCCTCATCTATATTTTCTTTTCAAAACAGGCTTTATTGATCCTGTTACACTTGCTTAAATGATGCAACATAAGACAAAAACTTCTGCTTGTAGAGCTTCATTTTTACCTGCCTGATGCTTTTCCTGCCTGTTTCTAACTCTACACCTATGATCACAGGCAAAGCCCCTTCACTGATTACACAGCTGAATATAAACATACCAGAAATCAACATCAACAAAATAATCCTCTCAATGAATACAAGAAACGTCAATATGTAGTCAACCATTGCAACGGCTGCCCAGAACTTCACATTTCTTCCTTTTCATTCTTAACTTATTCTGTCTTCCAAACGATAGCCAGAACCATTTGAATCTTGACCTATGCTCTATACCAGACTTCATCGTTGTGAGGCCAGCTTCAGTGTACTTTATCTTCTTTATAACCTTCAAGACCAGGGTTGAGATCTGATGAGAAAAAGGCCAAAAGGGTCTCAAAGGCCTTTAAGACTTTTAATGAGCAAAATGCTTAAAAAAGATTGAACCATTGGATTAAATTGCCCTACTCACTGATTATACTAATTGTATTGTTATTAGACCTGAAAAAACATTAGTCTAATTAAAAAAATGCTGCTATCTGAGAATAGTAGTAACAGTGTGGAAGATACAGAGAGGAATAGGCACTCTGTTTTCAAGGCAGCTTTATCGAGGCATACATTAACGTACATGTATCTTAGTAGGAAGTACCAGTGTAGCAAGCAATTAGTTCACCAGTTATTCCATTGTTTACTCCTTCTCTTGGCCAGTCTTAATCCCCCCCCCACCAAATAATATGGGAAACTCTTGTGTGTGTAGAGCGTTCCTCCAAATCCACCTTTTCTTTTTCCATGGTGTTTTAAAAAATTATTTAATGTTTTTTATTTATTTACTTTATTGGGAGTTTGCTCACATATATGTCTGTGTGAGAGTGTCAGATCCTCTGGAACTGGAGTTACAGACAGTTTTGAGCTGCCCTGTGGGTGATCGGAATTGAGCCAAGGTTCTCTGGAAGAGCATTCATTGCTCTTAACTGCTGAGCCATGTCTCCAGCTCCAACATTCTTTCCTTAATGCATCATAAAATTTTTCAATAATTAATTTTTAACATATGGGAGCATTTTTCTCTAACCATCTCTCATCTCCCATAGATTCTGGCCTTTTTGGTAATTTATAGTGTCCTTCCTTTAAATGCATGTTTCTATGTAACCCCAGGCTTCTTGAAGTCCTCACATTTCTACCTCAGCTTCTCACATGTCTGCTTTATATAGGCTTAAAATTACTGCACCTGGCCTGTACAGTGCCCTATTATAGTGTCTGGGTTCAGTGCATAAAGCCCCTTCTTCTGAGCCTGATGGTCTGAATTCAGTCTCCAGTGGAAGGAGAGAACAGACCCCTGCTAGTTGTCCTCTGACCTTTGCCCACCTGGGCATGCAGGCTGAGGTGAACACACACACACACACACACACACACACACACACACACACACACACACACACACACACCACACACCCCCCCGCCCCCCCCCCCCCCCCGCGTTTTTTTAATTGAGCTATACTTTTTCCCAGTCCCCTTCCCTCTGAGCCCCTGCCCTCCACGTCTCCCAAACACTTAGTTTTAAAAGTTTTAAAATGAGATAAAGTAAGACACTAGAAAAAAGAGCTTGAGTGTATAATGGTAAAATAATTTGTGTTGTTTTTTTAAGGCTTCTTTGCATTAGTATCTTTATAAAGTAGGTGGGTTTTGAAGTCACAGTGATCTGACCAACTTTGTGTATCGTTAATATTTTTAATATGTTTTTAATTGTATGAAATTCCTTTAATTTCTTTATTAAGAACTGAAGAATTTCTTTAATTCCTTTAGTTTCTTTATGATTTTGTACCTTTGTCTAGAGCATATGCGAAGTCTCAAGTCTGAACAAGTGTCTTTGCAGTCAGGTAATACACAACTTGAAATCGAGAAACAGAAGCTTCAAAGGAAAATCACAGTGATGAGGGAGCTGTACCAAGACAATGAAAGGATGCTTCACAGGTGAGAGGTGTTTGGTAACTCCAGTGAATGGCAAGTGAAATGTCTTTAAATGCATGTTATGTATTAGAGGCTTTACACATTGATTATTGGATGTTATCAATTACATAGAATCATTCATGTTGTTTCTTTTTTTTTTTTAATTTGGTGTTTGTTTGTGTTTTCAAGACAGGATTTGTCTGTGTAGCTTTGCAGCCTATCCTGGAACTCACTCTGTAGACCAGGCTGGCCTTGAACTAAGAGAGATCCACCTGCCTTTGCTTCCTGACTGCTAGTTTTAAAGGAGTGCCCTACATCACCTGGCTACATCATTCATTTTTAAGAATGTTATTTTGTCTTGGACGATTTTCTTCATGAACAAAATGTAAATATGTTGGAATTCCCAAGCTACCTTTCTCAGTATCTGGTAACATTTATCAGATTATTGCCTTAAACTCATGCTGACATACAGGGTCCAGGAATCTGAGCGGTGTCTTTGGATGGAACTTCCTATTGTATATAAAACTGACTCCTTTCTTCTGCGCAAGTTAGTCTTGCTTAATATTCTTTGATGTAGTTACTAAATGGCAGTATCATTGTATTTGTGAACAGGGCAGCTGCTAGTCATCCTTCAGTGCCCCTTTTGTGTCCCATATTTGTTTGTCTTATCATCAAATTCTGTCAAATTTCTTAACCTTTAATCTGATGGCTTTTTATCATCTACCAATACTCTGGTTAAAGCCATCATTAGCAGTAGTTGGTTCATTACAGTAGCCCTATGAATGTCTTTATATCTTCCTACACTGTCTTTTCTCTGTAAACTCAGAATAACTCCTAAAACATAAATTGTGCATACTGTCACAGTCTTTCCTGCACCCCCTCAAATGTTTTAAACAGACTTAAAACAAGATTCTCAGAACCAAGTTTACCATACCCACCTTGTGAGAAGCTATAGACTATTCTATGTCTCTTTTCTTTGTTGCTATCTATTGCCATTGGCTTTCTTCATTTTTGGTGTGCCCAGCACATCTGTATGGTAAGGTCTTTCATCTTTCAAGCTTTTTCTTTCCTTCTTTTTATTTTTTTCACTATGTGGTGTTCTATGTGCTTGCATTTTTGAATCTTTGTTTCATTCAGATGTGGGGTCCCGCTGTCATCTTAAAGAAGGCTTTCTCGGTACCCTAACTAAACCAATATCTCTTATTTTGTTCCGTTATTTCTCGTCACATCTTGTTTTGTTCTCTAAACGTCCTCCGCTTCACATTAATTTAAACTCTGTAAGAAGTATGGTACTTTTATTTATATTCCCAGTGCCTAAACTGAAAGGAAAATAGTGGGTTTCCAATCAATATTTGTGCTCAATCAATTCTTCAATATCCTTGAAAGGATAATAATCAACTTTATACAGAAAAAGAAATAAAATCAGGATAGCTAAAACAATCCTGTACAATAAAGAAACTCCAGGAGGCATCACCATCCTCAACTTTAAGCTCTACAACAGACCTATAGTCCTGAAAACAGCCTGGTATTGGCACAAAAACAGACAAGGTCACCAATGAAATTAAATCAAATATTCTGCCATTAACCCACACAGCTACGGACACCTGATTTAGGACAAAACAGCTGAAAGTATACTCCGTGAGGAGGAAAACATCTTCAACAAATGGTGCTGGCACAACTGGATGATGGTGAGTAAAAGACTGCAGATAGACCCATGTCTATCGCCATCCACAAAACTCAAGTCCAAGTGGATCAAAGACCTCATCATATGTCCTTCCACACTGAAACTCGTAGAACCTCATAGAAGAGAAAGTGGGAAGTACCCTTGAACAAACTGGTACAGAAGACTGCTTCCTGAACATAACTCTAGTAGCACAGACACTGAGATGTACAATTAATAAATGGGACCTCCCCAACTGAGAAGCTTCTATAAGGCAAAGGACACAGTTGACAAGACCAAACGGCAGCCCACAGAATGGGAAAATATCTTCACCGATCCTACATCTGACAGAGGGCTGATCTCCAAAATATACAAAGAACTCAAGAAACTAGTCAACAAAATACCAAATAACCCTATTAAAAATGGGGTCCAGACCTTAATAGAGAACTCTCAATAGAGGAAATTTAAAAGGCTGAAGGGCACTAAAGAATGTACTCACAGTCCTTAGCTATCAGGGAAATGCAAATAAAGGAACTTCGAGATACCATCTTACTGCTGCCAGATTGGCTAAAATTAGAAACACCAAGAACAACTTATGCTGGACAGGATGTGGTGAAAGGGGAACACTCCTCCACTGTTGGTGAGAGTGCAAAGTTGTACAGTTATTTTGGAGATCATTAAGGCGGTTCCTCAGGAAAATGGGAATCAGTCTACCACAGGCCCCGGCAATCGCCATCTTAGGCATATACCCAACTGATCCACATCCATGCAACACAGATTTCTGTTCTACTATGTTCATGGAAGCATGGTTTGTAATCACAAGAATCTGGAAGCAACCAACATGCCCTTCAACTGAAGAATGGATAAAGAAGATATAGCACATTTACACAATGGAATACTACTCTGCCGGAAAAGAAAAGAATAGAATCTTGAAATTTGCAGTAAAGTGAATGGACCTTCAAGAAACTATCCTGAATGAGGTAACCCAGTCACAAAAAGAATAAAATTGTATGTACTCAATCATATATGTATTTTAGACTGAGCAAAGGATCACCAGCCTATAATTAACACTGCCAAAGAAATTAAGATGCAAAGAGGATTCTAAGAGATTCATATATGTTCCCTCACAGAAGGGGAAAGGGACAAGATCTCCTGAGCATATGGGGAGTGGTGGGGCAGTGAGTGGAGAGGGAGCTAGGAGGAAGAGAAGGGGAGGAGAGGAAAGCATGTGGGCCTAGGAAGATTGAGTCAGGGGAGGAATAGATGAGAAGAGAGAGGGAACATAATAGAGGGAGCAATTATATGTTTGAAGAGAAAAATGAACCTAGAGAAATATCCAGAGACCTTCAAGTCTCACTGCAAGTAACAATTTGAGCAACAGTGGAAGGGCTACCATAAATGCCCTTCCCTGATAATGAGATTGAGGACTGTCTTATCCACCATCATAGAGCTATCATCTAGCAGCAGATGGAAACAGAAGCAGACACCCACAAGTAACCACTGAGCAAAACAGGAATTCAGAAGCAGAGAGAGAGGACAAGACCAGGCTACAAATATACATTGAGACAGCCAACCTGAAAAAGGAGGAGCTACTAGGCCCCCAGACTGATAGCTGGGATTCCAGCATTGGACTGACTCAGACTCCCTAAACATGGGTCTCTGCCGGAAGGCCTGGGAAGTCTAAGGGACCTTGACAGTGGAAACAGGATATGTACCTGGTGCACAAAAGGACTTTGGGTGCACATCCCCCATGGAGGGATACTCCCTTAACCTAGAGACAGGAGAGAAGGCCTAGTCCCTACTCCAAATAATGTGTCAGATTTAGATGACCCCTCCTGGAAGACATCACCCTACATGTGGAGTGGGGGGTGGGAGAGGAGTGTGGTCGGGGGCATGGGGGGTATGAACAGAGGGAAACAGGGAGGGAGGAAGGGGGAACTAGGATTAATATGTAAAATGAAAATAAGTAAATAAAATTGTACTAAGTGTATTTAAATATTGATGGCAATATGAGACATTGCCCTGACATGTCCAGATAAGGCAGAGAAAAGACCCTTGTGATACCAATCTTGCAATTGCAGATTTCCTAATAAGAATTATAGTTTAGAGTTTTCATTATAAAACCAAGCACACTTTGACTTTTATTGCCCTTTGGAAGTCCCTTGTCTGTCCTATTCCTTCATACATTAAGTGTGCATGTATTTATGTATGTGTGTGTGCGATGTAAAGTCCATTGTTAAATTTGTTTGTAACCTTAAAGCCTGTTTTTTTTTTCCCCAGAGATTTGCTGGCCTTTGATTTGTAAACTGAGAATGATGAAGATTCTGAGAGGCCCAGTGTGAGAACTCCTGGTTGAGGGCTAACACAGCAATTTCTTTCAGTTCTCATTCTGTAAACAATTGTCTTCTCTGACTACCTCTTCTTTTTAGAATTGTTTATTTGGTGAGGTACCTGTTCACATAGAACCCAAGCATGTGCTTGAGTGCTGTCACGTGTTCTTGATGGTGAGAAGGCCATAATATACTTTGTGAAAAAAATGCCATGTATAAGATTAACTTTGTTTTGTCTTAATTTACAGTGCTGTTGGTTGGGAATTTACTTTAGGAAATACACAACTTATGTTAACCAAGATGTGTTTTATTTTGACTGTTTCATGTAGTCCATGCTGGCTTGACCCTGATTACAGTCAGCTGTGACTTTTAACTCCTGATCTTTCTGCTGTCACTTCCCAAGTGCTTGGAACAGATGTTTTCCACCATTGTAGATTTTATCTAGTTTTAAAAAATGATTTATTATGCTGGGCATGGATGGTGTACACGTTTAATCCCAGCACTCAGGAGGCAGAGGCTGCTGAATCTTTGTGAGTCTGGTCTACAAAGCTACATAGAGAAACCCCATCTTATCAACCAAAGCAAAATAAAGAAACAAAACTGTGATTTGCTCTTTTAAATTATGTATGATGTGTGTGAACCTGTAAAAATAAGTGCTGGTGCATGTAGAAGTCAGAAATGTTGGCCCTCCCTGGAATTGTAGATAACATGCTGTTATGAGTCACTGGATATGGGTCTTGGGAACTGAGCTCAGGTCCTCTGCAAGAGCAGGATGTACTCTTCTTAATGGCTGAACTATTGCTCCTGCCCATGGATATTTATTTTCATTTTATGTGTATGTGAGAGTTCCTGTATGTATGTCTATGCACAATGCCTGTGCCTGGTGCTCTCTAAGGCCCGAAGAAGGCATTGGATCTCTTGAAACTGAGTTACAAATGCTTGTGAGCTGCCATGTGGTTACTGATTACTGAACTTGTGTCCTCTGCCAGAGCAGTTTGTGCACTCTTAGGTGTGAGCCATCTCTCCAGTCCCATGGCGAGT